TTTTTTTTTATTAAACTTCAAAGCTTTGACTTAATCTTGTAATTCCTAATTGTATGTAGTCAGTATGTAGAATTATTTAGGCAGAAAACTGTGGCGTATGAAATACATATGTAGTTAGTGAGTTCATAGAGCGAAGAAATGCATGGTCTTAAGAAGAAAAACTTGCAAAATATTTCGAATGAGTACTAAAAGCACAATAATGCAAATGAAGACTGGTATAAACTGTTCAAAACGTAAAAAGTTATGGTAAAGTTGAGTTGAGTTGAGAAACTGGTTGAAAGGAAAACTGGTATAAACTGGTATAAAAATAAAATGTTATGGTAAAGTTGACACATGCCAAACAGTTGAAATAAGTTCACACAGCGAAAACTTCTTGAATGGAAAACTGGTATAAACATGTATTACATGCATACATGTATTATAAACTGGTATTACATGCATACATGCGAAATACGTGAAATTAGTACAGAAAGCAAAAACTGCATAAAAATGAAACTGGTATAAACTGGTGTAAAAAATTAAATGCTAGAGAACTGAACAGATAAGTTGGAAATTATGAAGTAGCACGTTTTTTTTGAAAATTGGTACAAAGCTGGACTCAGCCGGCAGCAAAAGGATATGCTTTGTGGTTTTATTTTGCAAAGAAAAATGTATTTAGAATCCAATACATACGGAAAAATCATAAAAAAAAACTGCATACAAATAAAACTAGTATAAGCTAGTCTAAAGTATAAAACGCAAAAAAGTAAAAAATAACTTCAAGAGCTCGAAACTGGTGCCAAAATTCTGCTATAAACTAAAAAAGCGTAAAAAATTAAATTCAAGGCATATGAAATTTAACACTGATAGACGAGTTTATTTGCCTATTGAAAACAAAAGCACATGTATATATCATGCATACGTATGTATCTCCAAAGAAAAACAATTGCTTAGTGGTCTAAGTTCCTTGTTGCTGTTTTTTCGTTCGGTAACAAAAACGCGGAAAATCGCTCTTACCCATAATCATATACACTTTTATTTATCATTTTGTATGCTAAAGTAATAAACAATTTGTTTTGATGCTTGTAAGTGGGTGTGCAGGCATTTGTTTGATACGCTATATTGATTTGGCTTACCTACGCAGACATTTACATACATACATATACATTTACATATGTATTTAAATGTATACTTAACAGCGCTTGAACACAATTTTTGGTCGAAGACATGCCAAGCCATGCGTGTTAAAGCTAAAAATCGAAGAAAAATCGACAGGTAGCGAGCGTTTATCCTACGCGATAGTATTCGTTACAAATGCATACAAATCACCAGAGAAGAAAAGAACAAACAAATCACAATTTGATATATGTATGATAATACAAAATGTGTTGATGTTACAAGCAGCAATGCCGCGAGAGTCTTACAAGCGTACGCTAAAACCCTTGAGTGCGGAAGAAATGCTCACATACACATGGACGCTTACGCAACTCCACAAAATAAATGTACATATACAAAACGGTGGTGGTGCTGGTCGTGGTCTTGGTGCTGGTCCTAGATGCTTAACTGCTGATATGCTTAATGCAAAGGCCATCCCCCTATTTGAGCTCTCACACACCTCCGCTCCCACTTAGCCACCACAATATGCTTACATACCAAGCAAGGCACACACTTAGGCGTTAGTTAAATTTCGACACATCCTTGCTGCCGGCTAAACTAACTATCGCCATCCGGGCTTCGATTTTTTTTTCACCCCAACGGCCTCAAGCAAATCGCCTAAATAGATTGCTTGTAATTGATAAAGAGTTTTTTGGCCATACTAAATGTAAAAGCTTGAGTGCGCCTAAAAGTAGATAGCAATATTCATTTGTGTATTTCCTTAATTTAAGAATGAGTTTGGCAGCACTCTTTCTCTCTGTCCCTTAAAATTGTTGGTCGTAATGTTTAACGCCTCAAACGCATACGCATAAGAAAACAATTGCAAAACAAGTGACGCATACAACTATTAACCATTGTAGGCAATCCATGTACAAGCGATTGAACAAGCCTTAATTTATCTCTACAGCGCTGTATGTTTGTGCAAGTGAAGAATATTTCTTACTTTTTCTGTGCCTCTGTCAGGATTAAATGTGAAATATCGACATTTGATTTGCCAATACTGCTGCTTGCAGTGAGCCTCACACTAAGCTGATTAAAATGCAATGCCAATTAGTACGGAAGCAGCCGCACGTACATACATAACTACATATGTAGTTGTTCGGTGATGCGAGTAGGTAAAAGGTTTGAGATGAAATTGATTTTCTGGCATGCGTAAATTTCGTTTCAATGTAAGCCCATGAGCTGTGGGATAAGGATAGGCTATGGCAGCGAAAGGTCAAAACATTTTTCTTTGATGACAGTGTAAATTTGAGGATTTGAGTGTGTAATAATGGCAGCATTTAAGACAAGAAAAATTACCAAATTGTTGAAATAGGTTCAGAAGGGAAAAATCTGAGTGTAAACCAAACTGGTATAAACTGGTATAAAAAGAAAGTGACGTGGAGGTTAAGACATATGTTGTAAGGCAGGAAACAGTTATGTATAATACAAAGTGAACGAACTTTTGAAAACTGGTATAAAGTTGGAAGAAAGACTAGTATGTGTTTAAAATCTATTTCTTGTGCTCCAATATGAAAAGTGTACAGGTGAACATAAACTGGCATAAAATGAAAAGATGTACTTTCAATGTTCTTGCCTTTGGCTGCTAAAAATATGCCTGCCTCAATAATTTAAGCTGGATTACTTAGTTCAGAAGTGGCCAAAATTTAGTAAAACTCCTTAGAAATTTCAAGTGTCAGTTGGTATAAATTAAAAAAACTATCAGGGTCTGTATGATTTGGTTGCTCGATTTGCCATTGATGCGTAAACAAAAACTTACACAAAATTATTGAAGTGTTCTAAACAAATGCAGCAAATAATAAGCTGAATGTATGAAATTAGCTTTAAAATAGCTTTATTTTGGTATAAATTGAAAACATATGAATTAAAATCGTTTCAAACGTATTCATTTGAACTGGTCGAAAATTATTTCTTAGCAAATAAGCCATAAAATGTGAAATTCCGGTCCTAGCAACACAAATTTACTACAATTTTTCATTATTTAATAAAATAGGCTACCTTGTTTGAAATGGGAAAAACTTACACCAATTTTTGGAAGTGGTATAAACGTAGAAAATAATAAATTTTTGGTTTTACACTGGCAATCTGTTACTAATGCGATTTTCCACAACAGCAATTCAAACTGGTCGAAAATAAATATTAGCCAATTTAAAAAAAAAATGCGAATTTCCTTCGTAAAAATAAATTTTAATTAGGAACTGACATAAATGAGTGTAAGCAGGTTTAAAAAATGGGAGCTCTGAACATATTTAATCCTTGTTGTTTTAATAGTTAAAAACAGTTGGCTGCAAGCATTTTAAGCGCATGGAATTGAACTGGTCGACATTGTGAATGGGTATAAATAGGTGAGCTAATGTGTTAAATAACAAAATTTCGATTCCAGTATTATTTTGTCCCATCAACATTTAAAATAAGTTAGTTTCAAGCATTTAAACGCAAACTGAGGATCTAAATTAACTCTTGCCAATTCAACATTAAAATGGTTAATTCTTACTCATACTACCACACATTTACTTGGACCTACACGCCAATTGCTAATTGAAATGCACGAATTTTGAATTTATAAAAATTTAAGTATAACTTTTGCTGGAAAAAAAGCAACTTGGAAAATTAATTATAATTTTTTTTCTAAATTTCAGGTAATGTATATCTTTGAACACGAGGAGGGTCTCGCAAATTGTTTGTCGGGGGGGGAGGCTCAACTCAACGCCTACATACTATGCTTGGAACCGAGATTAACACAGCACACATCAACGCCCTCTGACGACGATTGCGGTGTGGCCGTCCCATGGGCTAAAACTCTTGCATGCAACATTTTGTTATATTCATCCTCACCGATGGGTCGCCACGAGCCCCTACGGTACGGTTTCGGTATCTGTCCGGTTTCCGCGTGATTCGATAAATTCATCACCAAATCCTCGAGCATTTGTGAGCGTGTACGTTCTTGCATGCGGGCAAATTTCGGTGCCGAATACGAAGCGCGCTCGCCGTTGACAATTTTCGTGAGTAGCCATTCTCTGTATAGAGGAAAAAGAGAAGGAAAGTGAGGTGATTAGCGATCAAAATGAGTGAGCCAAAATGAGCATGAGTGAAATATAAAAAAATGCGTAAAAGGGGGAAAAAATTAGAAAAAGTGAGCAAGAAAAGTTAAAAAAATAAGTAAAAAATAAGCGAAAAAATTAGTGAGAAAATGAATGAAAAGTGAGTGACGAAATGATAAAAAAAAAAATTAGTGAAAAATAAATGGGTAAAAAAGTAAGTGTGCTAAAAGTCGCATACTCACCGAAACATTGGCCCCTTCTCGAACACGGACTGCTCCCAGAGATACGGCTTGTAGGCGCCGACTTCATCGCGCGTCACCACCGAAACCTCATAGCGCGTCGGCTTGTGTTTAATTCGAGCCGAGACTCGCACCTGCCGGCGGTGAAATTGAATTATAAAAGAGGAAAGAGTGAATGCGGCGCAACGCAGAGCAGATGAGCACAGGTGAGTAACATACATATACATATGTCTTACCAGTATAAATGTATGTAGGAAATGAGATTTTATGCAGGCAGGACTAAAGCGCGTATTATCCGCTTCTAGGAAAACAACACAGACTATATCATTGCCTATATGTCGTTTGCGTTGCAGCTTTTGCGGGTCATGCTTCTCGTAGGGTAAGAGAGTGGATACATGAAACATAATCTCAATGTTACGCCAATTGGTGTAAACCGAATAGAGACCTATGGGTGTGCGGAGCGTGAAAAATAGAATAGAAGAAATTTGCCTGATCGTTTTTTTTTTTGTTTTAATTATTTCTCATTCAAACTAACCTGTCAGATCATGCACCGTATCAAGGCCACCTTTGTATTTGTCGAAACCACGTAAACGCACACGATCGCCGAGTAGCGTTAGGAATTCATCGAAGAGTATGGAATTTTCGTTATTGTCTAAAATTTGCTCTTCCGAATATTGATCTTCTTTCACATAGATAACGCCGACTTTCAGTTCTGATTTTATAAAAACCTGTGGGCGTTGAGAATGAGTGAATTAAGGGTAAAACTTCTCTTAAGCATCAAATGGGAGAGAAATTCAATTCTTCAAAATTATACCCTCACAACCTTGCTTCTCTCTCATTGTTGATCTTTGTTTTCGCTCTCTCACACAACTCATACNTGTCGGCATGAGATTATGTGGATACTCTTCGCAAAATTCATCTGAAATGGAAAATAGATTGGAAATTCGAAGTTAGCTATGAAGGAATGGTAATAAGTGACGTTTGAAAAAATGTCAGCATAATAAGTTTGTTCCGGAATATTTGTTAAAAAATAATTTGTGTTTATACCAGAAACTGGTATACTTTGATTCTTTGATTTCTGTGCAAATTCACTGCAAACTTTCAATCTTCGTAAAATTTTGATAGAAAAAATAAATTGGTCGAAATAAGGGCAGCCCTTTTTAAGATGTTGTGGACATATTGTTTTGGGAAAATAGTTGATTAGCAATGAAAAATCGTGTAGAAAAATGCATTCTTGTTTTATACCAGAAACTGGTAGAAAATATTTTACTAAAATTTTTCATAAAATTTCGTCATAAATATTTCTGTTTTTAGGTTTTGTGGGCATATTTATTTCTCCTAGTCGAATTTAAAATTTTCAGATAAATACATATGTAATTGGTAGCAAGGTTTGCAGTACCAAGCTTAGTAAATAAGTTCGAATATCTGATTAAAAAATCGGAATATTCGGATAACAAAATGAACGAATATTAACCGGATATCCGAAAATCCGGATTTTATGGGTATACAATCAAATGCACGATTTTTTCCGTCCCACCCAATCAATCGATAATACCACGGCCACATTTAGAGACGGTTAAGACTCCTTCACAGGGTAATCTGAAATTTGCCCCCTGTGCGACACGCTTTAACCGTCTACAATCGGGAGCAAAATTCATATGTGATATCTTCGACTATTGTAACATCGACGTAGGGGTTGAGGCTTAGAAAATCTGATGTAAAGTTTGTTTCCTGCATTTAAGAGCCAGTCTAGTAGTGTGATTTCAGATTTTTGTGTGCAAAACTAAACTGGTCGAAAATAGTACAGCCATATGGAGTAGTTCTCGACAAGTCTTTTGGCCTTAAGTAAATTGGCAAATAGCAATGGGCTATAAAAAATTAAATGTTTACTTTATACCAGAAACTGGTATATTTTTTATACAAAATTACGCTGAAATCTATTGGTCCTGAGCAAATGGGCAGTAAGTACTGCACTCAATTTCAAATTTTATATTTATGCCACAAAGTGGTATACATTTTTTTTCCTAAAAAGGCAAAATTTTTTTCACGTATATACTTTATTTGTAAGAATTTCTTATATTAATTCTTAATTTTATTTAAAACTACGTTGCGTATTTGAGTCAGAACTGGTATAAATGAGAAAATCTTGTTCAACGGGCTGCCAAAGTTTTCTAAACTTGCCTCACCTTTTTACGTTTTTAATGGAGTCACCTGTGTAAATCTCTCACATATTACTTATATGACTAGACACAACAACTCATTCCCATTCCTTACTATTTGAGTGACAATTTTAAAACTTTCAAAAAACTGGTATAAAGTTCTCTTTGCTCTCAAATTTATAAACTAAATTTTTTTAAATTCACCTAAATTCACAAAATATGCAATCTTAGTTAGGACAAATCTAGTTTATTTTCCAAATGTGCCATCGCCTACACCCCGCCTACAATCCACTCAACTAACCACTAACAAGCGTCGATTTGCGACTAGAAAATCCAATCAACCGTGAAAAAACCAACGATGTGCCGCAAAAACTGGCTGATTAGTGGCAGAGCCACTTACAACATTTCATTACTCGCCCAGTGGTCGGCCAGGCATACAACGTCAGTAGTGCGAAAGCCTGAAAGTATGCCCCATGCTGGAAATGCTAAAAAGCCAAAATGGCGAACATGCATTGCGGCCAAGCAAAATTTATGAGCAGTCAAGCGAATGTGAACACATGAAAAGCCACAATATTGTGGTGAATGGGAAGAGGAGCGAACGGGAGGTGACAAAGAGTAAGAGTCAAAGTAAATAAGGCCCCATATCAGAAGAGTAAAGGCGACTAGAGTATGCAGAGAGGAGGCAAAGGAAACAGCATAAAGTGTAAGCCATACGAAGGCGCTTCTACAGCTATTTAAACATGCATGAAGTTTGGTTGTCTTAAGTTGATCAACGAAGCGTTCATGCAGCCATGGAGCGGGAGGGTAACGAAAAATGCTGAGCGCTTAAAAAAGAACGAAAGAAATGTGTGTAGTTGAAAGGCAAGAGTACTCTTCGAGATATATGTATGCCCGTCAGTTAAGCTGGCAAATGCAGTTAAAAGTTGAGTGGCCGAAGTGCATTACGCAATCGGTTGGATTGATGGTGGGAAAGTAAAGCGCGAAAGACAAGAAATGGTGGATTGCGGCGAAAGAGAAAAATACTGGGGAGTACATAGAGTGATGATATAGAGGAGTAGTGGCACAAAAAACGCGCTAAGCTTCTTATTTTCCACTAACTTAAAACATGTTGGAAAACATCTCAAACAGCTTCATTTAATAGCTATTAAAAAAGCGTTGCATACTTTCGGGCATGACAGCACATCAACCAATTAAATAATATAATTAAAATTAATTTTGAAGCGGCGCATAAACCACGCATACAACAATCTTACACGTCCCGACACATATGTGTGTTGCCCGCATGTTGGCCGTAAAGTGGTACTTCAAACACATGTACAACTCTACAATATTTTACATAATAGACAGCCTTTAAGTAGGCAACCTAATTGAAATGATTTATAAGAAATGAAACTTTATCATATGCGCGTTTTGGTAGCAGGTTTTCTCGCGAGCAATGTGGGAAGCGAAATGTTGGAAGGCAAACGACAAAGGTCTTCCACGCTGATGGCACTAAATGAAAGGGAAAACATTAATGAGCTTCCCTTTATGTAACGCGCGCTTAAGTCTTCGTCATGCCAACCATATGTTACAACATTGGCGTGCAACCTTCAACCGCGCTATTCGTTTTCATGGCTACAACCAAAAAGGCGTGTGCATGCACGCACCGCAATCACTTAAGCACATTTTTGTTTTCTCATACGTATTTTTGTTTATGTAAGTATTTGTTGTTTATATTTGTTTGCCTTTGTTGTTTTCTTTTTTCGGTTGTCTAATTAAATCACATTTTGTAAGATACTACCGCTTTGGTTGTTGGGACGTTTGAAATTGTGCCTGGAAATATTATAATATGGCGAAACCAAAGAAGGGTTTTGTTAAAGGTATTAGAGAGAATGTGAATGGCATAAAAAATACGTACTAATAAGACCTTGAAGTGAGCGTAAGCGAGTGTAATTGGGTAATTAGTGAAAATGTATGAATGCGTGCAATGCAGATGAAGACGATGCGAAAAGCCAAAAAGAATTGAGGATTATAGCATTTATGTGTTACAAATTTTTAGACGTTGTAGCTCAAAGTTATATATTTTTATTTAAGTGGTATTGAAAATAATGGTCTAGCTTGTTTATTCAAAATGGTTTTTATTAAATAAGCACAATTTTTGATCATACTGAATATGTTTGATTTATTAAAAACTGGTATAAACTGGTCGAAATGTAAAAAAGTGGTTTAAACTTAAGTTTCTAATATTTTAGTGTATGGGATTGTACGTCAAACTGCCCAAATTTTTATAGTTTTCAATGCTGCAAGGCTTGAAAAATAACTGGTATAAATTTGGTAAAATTGCCGTTTGGATTGAAAAATATTTCTTAATAATTTAACGGACCTTCGGCCTAATTTTAGAACTAACCTAAACTGGTCGATTGTTTTTTACTAAATATTTTACGATTTAAGTCTTAAAAAACTGGTATAAATATTTTCAAAAAAATGTGTGTCTCAAATGCATTTTTTTTTAACTAAGAATTTTGATTTGAAATATAACTTGTCGAAACTGGCCGAAAAAGAAAATCGTGCGAAATCACAAAAGTTTGCCTTTTTCATTTCTTCCCCCAAATAACTTCAAAATTTAGTCTTTTTCAGACAAGATTTATAAGCTCGATTAGCAATTATCGAACACTGGTATCAATTGTAAGATTTTTTAAATGTAGAAATTCTACTTGTTTTATTTATTTGTGTATAAAGTTCCATATTTTCCATTATACATGCTTATTCGTAAATGTTTAAAACTGGTATAAATTTCAAAAGTGGAAGAAACTAATGAAGCTCGTTTTTTGTGACTTACTATGCTTACACACACGCTTACCCTTCCTAATCACAAAACTGGTCTAAATTAAAAATAAGATTTTACAACTAGTTTAACTACCAAAACTGGTCTTAGACAGAGAACGTAGTTATTCAACATATTCTACCCTTGTACCTACTATTTTTAAGCTGCCTAAAAATTGTTTTTAACTCAAGATAATCCGAAAGTTCTTTCAATACGATCACACTTTTTAATTCTTTTAGCTGTTGCACCATTTGCAACTTTTTCTGTATAAGTGATTGTACATTTTACACTTCAACATGCAAGAATTATTTATTTACACTTTTCAAAGTATCTGACACATAAGTGTCATATCGATAGCATATGTGGCAAGTATGTGTAAGCATAGTGCCACATGAGCATACTTTTTCAATCAATTTCGTTTTTGTACTTCAATCACCTTAATAGTTAGTTATCCATACGGCTTGTCATGTGGCAAGCCAACATTTTCTCACTCCACTATGCTTTTATTTCTTCTGCGCTCGTAAAAGCATTTTATGGCTGCACTTGCTGCCGAAACTTTTTTTTTCATTTCATCCATTTAGTGCTTATACTTTAGTTTTTTGTAATGTACATCTTTTTGTAACTTTTTTTTTGTTTCGCAAGAATCTGTTGTTATGTTATTAAAGTTTGTTAGAGTACTCTTAAAACAGCAAAAAAAAGTAACAACTTTTAGTTAAAACAATTTTTTCATATTAAGAAAAACGCAAGCTTAAGAAACTTTGTCAAT